AAGCTAAATTGGAATGAAAAGTAATACATGGAGATGCCTCATGTCATGAAAAAGGTGGAATGTCTGTTGCAACTTCTATAAGAATAGACTGTTAAAATATTGGATGAAATAAAAGGAGATTTTTGACTGAGCTGTATTTTGTTAGAAGAAAAAGTGTTAATAGAACAGATTAATCTGTAAAGTCAGTTGGCAAAGTAAAATGAGGGTGTTGAGGTTTCACCATAGTTTGTGGGGGCACAACAAAGTTGTTTCTAAAATAGAACTTAGTTATAGTATGCCAGTGTGGTTAGTATAAAGTATGCAGAGTAGAGATACATAATTTGCTTGAAGTGATGTGCTTACTGTATTCTGCTCTTAGCTTTGTATATCACATGCAGATAGTTTGATCATACCACTTGTCTATAACTTTTTTTTCAGATTTTGATCGTCTTGAGCTAAGAAACAAAAAGTGCTATTATATAAGGAAACGTAAAAAACAAGATGTTAGGTTTGTTTACCCTAGTTAGTAACATGTTCATCTCCTTAGCTTTGAGGGTCTGATTCACCAAACTATTTAAGCATGTATTTTTCTTTAAGCATGAGTAATTCCACATGAGCAGTTAATATGCCTACTCATATTCTTACAATTAAACACATGTTTGAGGAGATTGCTGAATCACTCCTGAAAAGGGGAAGTTTTAAATAAAACACTTACTGGTTATCACTGCATTCACAATGCTGGTCAAGTGCAGAGAACAAACTAACACAATAGCATGGTGGCCAGAAGTAGACTTCTAGGAAGTGTTTACTTCTTGAGTATGCTGCCAGATTAATAAACCAACGAGAAAGAAAGATGTGTCATTATCAAAAGTTCTCTCTGTCAGGCCCTTAAAAAATAAGCATATTAGTCTCTGTAAGTTTGATAGTCACCTGTATCTATCTGTCATGGGTGTTACTAAGGTGGCTTAGAACTACACATCCCATTAAAATGGGCATCACTGGAAAGCTAAAGAATGTTTTCTTACTAGGGAATTCCAGGGAAGCTGCTCACAAAGTGATCTACAGAAGTACTGTCCAACTAGCAGCCCACAGGCTGCATGTAGCCCCTGACACTCCTGGGCTGGGTGCTGCTCCCCTCATAACCTCAGTAGCTACTGCTGGAGTCTTGGGGCTCCTTTCTGTGACTTCCACTCCCTGACCTGACCCCTGGGGATGGAACCAAGGGAGTCTGCTGCCAGATGGTCCAGGGAGATCCAGGGACCCTGTGTGGCACATCGTTGGACACTGGCAAGGTAGAGCAGCGTGCCTGTTCCATGGTACAGTAGGAGAAACCCATATGCATACAGGGTTCAGGGACACTGAGACCACAAAGCATGGGGGAGGCACGTGCACCTGCAGTGCAGGGGAAGGGGGGGCGGCATGGAACTTGGTGGGTGTTTGGTCCCCAGCCACCACGAGTTGGCTATCCCTGGTCTACAGTTTACATAAACAAGTTTTATCAAAGACAACTGGAGTTCCTCAAGATGTGTTGTCCACTCCACATTCCACTGCAGGGAAGCATGTGCCTCAAGGACTTGAGCTCCGAGACTTTTTGTTATTACAATCCCTATATGGTACACATGAGCCCTGCTTCTCCTCATACTCAGGAGGCATAAAGAGCAGTGCATGCCTCTCAGACCCTTTTCTCTCTATCACTGAATCCAAAAAGTATTAAGGAACCAAAGAAGGGAGGATGAATGGTGAGATGTGAAATGCATATGTGACAATAAATCTTGAAAAACCTCCACGTTCTAATAGTTATAAGTAGGAATGGAAATGTAACCCACATGCTTTATATATACTTTAGCATCTGATATGTTATTGTGGGCCAAAGAAAGAAGAAACACAGGGGTAATGATGTGGAATGTAGCTTGAAGTACCCCGTTGTTAGGGTAGCTTGTTATGTTTAATGCTTTGAAGTTGCACCTGCTTACAGTATTGTTTATATTTAGCCTTATTTAATCATTGCTTAAGTTTTGTCTTTATTAACTTTTTATTTTTAATATTGTGAGAAGTTTTTTGAACATAACATAGCAATGGCCTTGTTACCAGCTCCAGTTACCTGAACATGAGACTAACCAGCTGAATCAGAGGGATGAAAGGATTAGATATATTAATGAAAGTTGATAAGGGAGACCAATGGACAATACCCAAAGAAAGACACTGGAAAAAGGCCAAAATAAGAGATGTGCTTGTGATGGGTGTGTTAGACAAAGGAATATGCTGGCAGGATAAAAGATGGGCAGCATGCTGACCGCAGAGAGACCAATCCAGAAGCAAGGAGTCATCGAAGGAGTAAAGTTGAAGAAAAGCATAAAAGGGGGGTGTAACAGCGCGGGGTCCTAGGGGTGGCCATGAGCTCCCCTAGTGCCCCTTACCATGCCAATGTGGTATTAAAACACCCTCACATCTCGTCTGCCATGTCTTTGATGTCAACAATGTATAAGGGAGGCTGCCTTTTGTCCTCTCTGACATGGTGCTCTGATGCATCTCAGTCTCTGTTCTATTTTGGGTGACTCTGTGCACCCCAGCCTTATGGGCTATGTGTGGCTCCAACCACCCCTGTACCACGCCCCAAGGCTTGCAGATGTACCGGACATTGTTTGGTTGATTTCGCTCTCCTGCGCCCCACCGGCGCTTCTGGCTTGCCTCACAACCATGCTCCCTGGCACTTGTCAATCTCTGTCCCCGCCCCAGGGCTTCTTGCACGGCCCGCTCCGGGGCTTCTCGCCTTGGGGCTCAGGTGGCTGTAGCTGTGCCTGGCCCCCAAATCTCCTCCTCAGGTCTTAACCTCCTGTGGAGCTCAGGCAGCCTCGGTCTTACCTGGCCCCCAATCCTCTGCTCCCCTTCTCAGGGCTGGGGTCAGTGCACCCCTGAATGTTGTACCCTCTCTGGCACCAGGGTCCCCACGCTACCGTGGAGCCCCTATGAGGCCTCCTCCAACCCCTAATAGCCTCACCCGGTCCTCCAATGTAACAACAATAAAAACAATAACACAAGCCCCTGGGCTATAACACAAAGCTAAACCTCATGGCTAAATGTTCTCCAAACCACACCACATCTCTCACCCATGTAACTAGTGGCTTATACATCCCGGCCTTTTTCTCTTTCCCACATTCAGGGCCAATCTCTTTCCCTTAGTCAGGCAGTACTCCTTCTTCCTGGCTGCCAGTGGAGAGAGAGCACTCGCAGCCTCCAGTCTGGGTCTTATAGTAGTCAGCCCTGCCCCTTCCGGTCAGCTGACTCACCAGCCCTTTAGCGCCTCCTGGTTGCCCCTAGCAACCAGCACCTGAGCCCATACTGCTGCTTTTCAAGTAGCAGGCACCTTAGCAAGGAAGTTCAGAATAACTGAGAGATAAGACAGAATGTAGGCAGGGGAGACAAAATGTAGAGTAAAGGACAAGTTTGTAGATTTAAGGTATAGACTGATATAATAACTATATCAGTATCAAAGGATACCCATATGAGTTGTTAGGATACAATTGGTATAGTGGCATTTTTATTTAGTGGTTCTTTGGCAATCCCTTGCAGTCAAGGATGGTTGTCTTTCATGGTTGTCTTATCTGTATGTCCAAAGAGGGCTGATGAGGCCTATCCAGGATCAACAGACTCTACTGTAGCTTGGACATGTGTTTCCGTGTGGGGAAAGTGGTGCTGGATTCTTGATTTGGTCTGCGACATGCTGTTTCTGTGGCTCCCACTTTTCCATCTCCTGTTGTTGTCATGAGGTTTCAAAGAACTGAGATCCCTGCAGCCGACTTTTCCTTCATTTTGGGTGGTCCTGGGCGATAGTTTCCCGTGAGTTGACATCAATATTGTTTAGTGGTACAACTATAGCAAATCTGCTACTCTTTTAATTTCTGCTTTGTTCAGTGTTGAAGTTAGGAAGATTTAGCTCACTTTGTATTGCTGCAGGATTACACAGATATAACAGCTGGAGTTCCTGAGTGGCAGCTCTCCCTACACTTTGAAAGTGGATAAAATGTGCGTATGTCCATACCCTCAATCACTGACCAGGGCAGCACCAAGAGACATGTCTGCTGGAGGGCTAGGTCCCAATATCCATTTCCCTTGGAATGCAAGATAATACTTTTCTGCTCCATCACCAGCTGAGGGCCAGTCAGTTATTAACATAAAGTCTGAAATGCTGCTGGCAGTTCTGAAGGGTTCAGCAACAGTTAAATTTGCAGCCTAATGCCTCTTGTTTGAAAGTCATTTATAAGTCTCCCAAATACTGGTTACTGTGTTTTATACTTTTATAGTGTTTTGTGTGTGTATGTGGGTGACCTACCCAGCTGCCTTAAGGCCAGTGATCACAAGGTTTCCAGGCAGTTTATCTACAGGGAATACACAGTAAAAGCAAACAACAAACCAAGCAAGTGTGCAGCAGCAAGCAAAAAAACCTACAAACCCCAAATTTGTTGTCTTACTTTGTACCTTGGGAGGAGTGAGACAGGCTCTGTGCTTCTCCCTCATTTCCTGATCAATCACAGCTCAGCCCCAGGCTTCTAGCCAGGGAGACCCTAACTGCTGATTACCTGCACCTGGGTCTCAGCCTCTGCAAGCTAAGCACCTCCTTACAGTGTGCATTAGTGTTTTTTATATTACACCCTCCTGGGTTGTTAATTGGGAACTATTACTGTTTACTTACTGTTTTATGTACTGACACTGTTTGCACCCTGTTGAATTGTTTCTGAAAAGTCTTGGAAGATGCAGTGATGGCTTGTCCTTCAGCAGAGAACTATGCAAAGATCCAAGAACAAAGGTAGTATAATAGTTGCATAGTGTATAACGTGGCTTCAGCATCCTCCTAGTCTGTGGACAACTGGGAATACAAACCCAGGGTGTTCATGATGAGTTGCAGGACTCTCAAGATTAAACAAATCAAGCTATTCTTTTCAATATTGCATTCATGTTTCGTTTTAGGTCCAGTCCTGTTTGAGTACAATCACCTTTGCTCATTGTTGCTTACTGTTGCCCATCTGTTACACTAAACTTGTATTGAGGCGTCTGATAAGTTGGCAGATGGCAGCAGTGGCATAATGAGGGTGGGGTACTTGGGGCAACTACCATGGTCACTAACTTTCTACAATACCAACACTGCAACAGGGACAACAGAATCCCTCTGGTTGTCACCTACAGCTCCCAACTTCAACACATCATTTAATGACCCTCCAACTCCTTCCAGAAAACGATGATCTTCTCAAGATAGCCTTGGAAGACAAGCCTGTCCTGACTTGTAGGTAGCATCCCCAACTTCAAGCATCTCTCAAGCAACAGTCTACCTAATTCCAATGCTCTCCAAGCTATCAAGCCTTGTTGCCCAGATGCCAGCTGTGCCCCATCATTATCACTAGACCAAACCACATGAAATATAACATGGGGGGTTCATTTACTTGCTCCTCTACAAACATTATGTATGCCATCATCTTCTAACAGTGCCCTTCTGCTGTCTACATTGACCAGACAGGACAATCCCTACATGAAAGAATGACTGATATAATTTTATATCAATTCCAGAAACATGCAAAAGCTTCTGTCAGTATCTTTTAACTTCCCTGGACATTCAATCC